CCTGCGGGTGCCCGGGAGCGGGTGGCCAGAGGCTCCGGTGGGGTTGGGAAGCCCTGTACGGGGTCTCCCGCCCTGTGGTGGGAGCCCGGCTCTGGATGCAACCCCAGGAGCTCCCAAGTGGTCGAACCTCCTCCTTTTCCGAGAGATGAAGTCAAGGAAGGGGGGGAAAAAGCAAGCAAAAAAAAAAAAGGGAAAAAGAAAGGCAAAAGCCTCCCAACCCCACAAAGCAAAAAAAAAAAAGGAAAAAAAGAGGGGGGAAGAGGGAAAAAGAAAAAAAGAAAAAAGAAAAAAGAAAGAAAAAAGAAAAAGAAGAAAAAAAAAAAGAAAGAGAAAGAAAGAGAAAGAAAGGGGCCGTTATCAGCAGTTCCCTATCTGCGCTGTTGCTCGCTCACTGCTGGGGGTTATTGACACCCGGGGCTGGCAGCGCTCGCGGTGAGTTCCCAGGTCACACCTGTGTCCCCACAGGAGTGCCATGAGGTGGCACAGCCTTCACCTTGGCTGGGCTGGGAAAGAGGGTGTTCGCTAAAAAACCCCACGAGATGATGCAGCCTTCACCACAGCTGAGCACAAGGGTGTCCCCGTAAAAGCCCCATGAGATAACGAGACCACCATGGCTGGGGCCATGGTGTCCACATAAAAGCCCATGAGATGTCACAGCCTTCACCATAGCCACAGACAAGGTGTCCCCCCAAAAATCCCATGAGATGACGCAGTCTTCATCACAGCTGGGGACAAGGGTGCCCCCATAAAAACCCCGTAAGATAACCAGTCTTCACCATGGCTGGGGCCATGGTGTCCACATAAAAGGCCCCATGAGATTACGTAGCCTTCACCACAGCTGGGAACAAGGTGTCTCCACAAAAACCCCCATGAGATACCACAGCCTTCACCACAGCTGAGGCAAGGGTGTCCCAATAAAAGCCCCATGAGATAACCAGCCTTTACCATGGCCAGAGACAGGGTGTCCCCATAAAAGGCCCCATAAGATGACACAGCCTTCACCACAACTGAGGACAAGGTGTCCCCCAAAACCCCATTTGATGGCACAACCTTTACCACAGCTGTGGACAAGGGTGTCCCTATAAAGCCCCATGAGATACCACAGCCTTCACCACGGCTGGAGACAAGGGTGTCCACGTAAGCCCCACAAGACGACATAACCTTCACACCCCAACGAGGCCACGCTCACCAAAACCCTATAAAAACCCCACAGCAAGCCACCCCACCTTGGGACACTCCTTCCCAACCTCCAAAACGAGCCAGAAAAGGGAAAAACCCCCATAGATCTTGCACAAAACCAAGCGTTACCCTCCTCCTCTCCCCAGGAGGAGGACAGCCATGAACAGGCCTCAGGGCTGTGCGTAGGCCCCGGGGAGGAAATGGTGAGGGGGTGTGGCTGTTTTGGGGGAAAAAACCAACATTTAGGGGAAAGGTGGGGGGGATAACACTGCTGATGCCAGGGCAGCCCGAGTTTCTCCATGCATTGCTTTATCTCAGCCAAGAACCCCAAAATAACCTCTCTTTCACCCAAAAAATCACCCTCCTGGCCTCTTGCTGGAGGAAGGTGGGAGAGGGATAGCGAGCCCTAAAAACCTTTGCCTCGTCCCTTTGCAAGCAACCCAACAGCGTCCCAGTAGGGTTGGAGGCACTTCTGAAGGCCAGCTGGTCCAACGTCATATGTCCATGGATGGAGACTCCACTGCCTCTCTGGGCAACCTTGTGCCAGTGCTTGGCCACCTTCATGGTGAAGAAGCGTTTCTTGATGTTCAGAAGAACCTCCTGGGTTTCAGTTTGTGCCCATCACTTCATGTCCTGGCATTGGACACCACTGAGAACAACCTAGCTCTATCTTCACACCCTCCCCTCAGGTATTTATACCCATTGATAAGATCCCCCTGAACCTTGTCTTCTCCAGTCCCAGCTCTCACAGCCTTTCTTCCTAGGGGAGACTCCAGTCCCTGCATCATCTTGGTGGCCCTTTGCTGAACATGCTCCAGTGTGTCCGTCTCTCTCTTGCACTGGGGAGCCCATTGCTGGGCTCCATGAGTGGCCTCACCAGCACCAAGGGGCAGGATCACCTCCCTCAACCTCCCCCAACACTCTTCATGCAGCACCATTATCCCTCTTTGCCCCAAGGGCACACGTTGGCGGCTCATGGTCAGTGTGGTGCCCACCTGGACCCCCAGGTCCTTTTCTGCTGAGCTTGCTTTCCAGCCTGGAGGCCCTCAGCACGTCCTGGTGCCTGGGGCTGTTCCTCCCCAGGGGCAGGACTTTGTGCTTCCCATCGTCGAACAAAATGGACTTGGAGTCAGCTCTCAGCACCCAACTGGCACGGACCAGACCCTTCCCAAACCTGCCGCTGGGAACAAGGCATGGCAGAGTGACAAGGAGCAAGGTAACAGCCACAGCACCCACGGGTGGTGGCACCGGGAGCAGGGACCAGGCTCTGTCCCTTCTGCTCCATCTCCCACCAGCTGTACCTACACGCGGTGCGGGACGAGGAGCCATCTCCAGCCCCACGTGTGTCTCAGATGAACTGATCCGCACCTCCTCCGCCGAGCCCAGGACTGGGCAGAGCACTGAGTGCAGTGCAGTCGCGCCGCCACGGCCGGGAGGGAACAGACAACACATGCCACCAGGGAAGCGTCACCTTCTTTAATTAAAAATAAAAATACAAGAGAAGTACGGCCTGCCATGTGGATGCTGGAAGGCAGCTCTGGGCTGGGCAGAGGACGGGCTCCCCTCTGCCATGGACTCCTCTCCACCAAGGCTGGGGCAAAGCCCCGCTCTTTGTGCCAAGCCTCCAAAACACGTGGCAATGCCCCGCCAAGCCGGGCAGCGCTGGGCGAGCTCCTGCTCCACCATGGGGGCTCAGCTCCTCCGCTCAGGGCTGTGCAAATTCAAAAGGAACAATCCCGGAGGGACATCCAAGAGCCCAGAGCTCTCCTTGGCTTCCTCTTCCTCACTTGCCCCCCCTGCAGGTTGGGAAGCAGACGTGGCACCAGCATGAAGAGGACAGTCCTCATGAAACCGATCCCGCAGCCCAGGCCAGGACGGGCAGCGGCACCGGCAGAAGGGAGCCGAGGGAGCCCCGGGAAAGGCACAGCGGGAAGTGTATTTACAGATGGAGAATGTTTTAATTTAGCATTTCTGTCCCAAGAACAAAGCTGAGGGTTTTTCACCCAAATGCGATGGTGTTTGCAGGGTGCAGCCAGCCAGCCAGCCCCCGCGGGGAGCCCCCGGGCCCTGTCACGCTCTTCGCGCCTTCTTGCTTTTCTTTTTCTCCTCTTTGAGGGCAGTGTCGTGGGCTTTCCTCTTCGCAGCGAGTTTGTTCGCCTGTGGAGAAACCCCCCCCCGAGACCCACAGTCAGACCGGTCTGCAGACACCGAGGGCTGCTCTACCCTCAATCCCACCAAACCCTCCAGCTGTACGTGGGGGAGATGGACCCATCTGCTGCCGGCACCCGGGCCAGGCGTGGGGCACAGAGAGGGGCGGCAGCTTCACTTTCTGAGCACAAACCACAGCTCTGAGGGACACGAGGAGCTCTGCCCTGCCAGGGTCGAGAGACCGCAGCCTGGTGATGCCAGGGAAGAGGCTCGTAGAGCCTCACCCTAGCCCACCTTCGCTCAATGCCCTCACCAGGTACGGAGAGGAGCAGAACAGGCAGCCCAGAGCTGGCACAGCGTCAGAAGCAGAGGCTGCTGCCTCTCCCCCGAGATGGGGACAGATCCGGCTTTAGCAATCCCTAGCTGCAAGCCCATTTGGGAAGATCTAGCACCAGGATCCAGGCAGCCCTACGCTCGTACCTCTCGGACTTTCCGCTTCTTGCCAAACATGATCTTCTTGTAGAGGTATTTCTCCCTTTTCTTCATCATCATGATGGCAAGACGTTTCTCCTCGCTTTGCTGCTCCTGCTCCAGGCGCTGCCTGTCCTCCAGCCGCCGCTTGCCCGCGGTCACCCTCACCGGGAGCGCCCGCG